AAAAAAATCTAATTGACATGATAAATTTGAAATCGGTAGAGACAACAAATTAGTCTTCTTTAGATCTTTGATCTTGAACTCAAATTTTCAACAATTGAGTTTTTCTTAAATGACTTCTTCAGTAGTCCCAATCAAGTTCATGTCCTTACTATAAATTTTAGTAATAGGAACAATCAAAACCAATTATTGTTTACCTATTCTCTTCCGAGCAATTGTTCACTTAGGCAATTGTCATATATTCTTCTGGAATATTAATTTGTAGTCATAATTAAAGTGAACGTCTCAGCCGAACTGAGTTTATGTTCCGTGATCTGGAACTAATTGCTTCGGGAAATCGAAGTCCTTCTGGAACTTTCATATAAATACTTGTATCTAGATTCCGATTAGATACTTTGTGACCACGTATTTAATATCATTCATCATGAGAGAGTATACCTCTTAATTAAAATCAATCTCAGGTTGTTGAGGAAATCCTTGAATTATGAGACGAGTCTTCGAGCTCCCAATCTCATTTGTCCATAAATCATTGTACTATGACATCTGGCTCCAAATATCGTTCGAGCTATGAGATGAGTCTTCTGGCTCCCAATCTAGTTTAAGCTATGAGATGAATCTTCTAGTTCCCAATCTCATTTCATTAATTGAGCTATGAGATGAGTCTTCTGGCTCCCAATCTCGTTTAAGCTATGAGATGAATCTTCTGGTTCCCAATCTCATTTCATTCCTTGAGCTATGAGATGAGTCTCCTGGCTCCCAATCTCGTTTAAGCTATGAGATGAAACTTCTAGTTCCCGATCTCATTTCATTCCTTTGTGAGCACTCACTTATATTCTATGGGTGAAATTCAAGGAGTTGTATGAACTACTGGTCTCTACACTCTTCATTTTATCAAGGAATCAAATTCAGCTTGGATTGTTTTTTCTTTTTTCATTTCGGCCCATCATCCCTTTGTTTACACTTATCAATTGATCGAGGTTTTATATCATCACTCAATAAAAAGTTCAGTAGCTACAATGTAAGGAAATTTTTCATCGATGATCATTTCAGCCTGATACAACATCTCATTTGCATGAATAACTAATCGAGATTTTCCTATTCTCGAGAATGGATATTGATGTCGAGGCGTCCCCCGACTTCGTCTCCTAGACGAATCCATATTCAAGAACTATTTTATGAGATGGGTCAGGTGGGATCCCATTGGTAATTGTGCTAACCGGATTCGATTGTTGGGCATTATTCTCTTATGGAGATGAGAATCTTTTGATCCCATTGCTCTCCCCCTCTTCTAGGAAGGGAAGCAAGATTGGTTAGCAGGATTGATGGCCTGCCCATATTTTATCCTTCTATAACATCTGTCGTTACTGGGTTATTTGAAATCTCGTCACTTTTTCAAATCGGAGAATGAGTCTGGCATTATTCATTCTACACGACTTCATATTGTTCTTTAGGAACATTAGTATGGATGTTCTATGCAGATTTCTAAGTCGTCCCATACGATTTCACGCCGTTCTTCGGGAACGTTACTATGGATATTACTTGCAAATCTATATTGTCATCCCACACGACTTCACGTCGTTCTTCAGGAACGTTAGTATGGATGATCTATTGTTCTATGTAGCAATTCTCTGATGTAGGGGATCTTGATGAGACACGGTGGGGTCGTCCCACGCAACTTCACGCCGTTCTCCAGGAACGTTAGTGTGGACGTTCTTTCCTCCCCCTAACGGCGGGATGACAGTCTCATCAAAGTGATAGTCCGCAATTTGAGCGGGTAAGAGATCGCATGTCTAAGGTTCTAAATTTAAGTTATAATGGTGATACATATTTCACATATATCTTCTTGGATTACCTCCAAGAAAGGAATTGAATCATTACATGTATGTGCGTATCCTGACATATAATCAAATTACTTGATTTTGAGCAATCGACAACTTATGCTTCTGGCATACAAATTGTGGTTCTACATAATCGTGTCGAAAATTCCTCTGATTTTCCCAATGTATGCTTCTGGCCGTACACGTTAGAGATGATGCACATATACTCAATTTCTTGTCTTCAATGGTTTCAACAAAATAACCATTAGCTCAAATATCTTTAAAGTTTAACAACGTTCTACTGGAACGTGGAGAAAAAAATGAGATACTTCAATGGGCAAAACTGTGCCATGAGATACATAATGTGGACATTACCATAACCATCTATCAAAACCACATGTGCCTCATTTAGTTATCAAAGAGGTCTGTTACAAATAGACATGAAATTAATAAAGTACAACTTATCTCTCAAGATAGTATGTGTTGCCGCACTATCTACCAAACATTTACCCCAACATGTCATGTCTAGAGAGTTATATAAATTTAATCACATATATTCAGTAATTCAGGTACTAAATAAATTCATCAAGCAAACACCACTGAATAACATCATAATTAACTTAGAACATACAGTGACATAAATATATGATCCAAAGCATGAACCAAACATAATCAAAATACGAATATAGTTCATAACATGAGCATATGAAGTAAGATGATTGAAATTCAATAAACTAATAAATCCGAGTAATAAAATAAACATAATGCACGAAATCAACAGTTCAATCATATCCCAATATGGGTTATTTGGTCAGATGTGACGAAGTATGAAAGCTGAGTGACGGGCTATACATTGAAAACATTTACCTCTGCCAACTCAGTCTATGCTGGTGCATTATTATTTGCATCCACAGCCCCAACGTTCCTCGCACTTCAGGTGCGCGACCAATGCTTAGATCCACCATATATGAACATATATCTATGTCTTGATTTTGAGCTCTATTCGGATTTTAAGATTCATATACAAATCATTTATGTATTCATTTGTTCCTTGCTTCCGGCAAGTGTATTGTCTTTTGGTAATCAAAACGACTAGTCAGGGTATCCCATTCTTTATGAGGACCCTCGTTCGATGAATAGTCCAGACGAAGGACTTTATTCAATTATCTCTTAATCAGAAACATAGTATCATCCTTCTGGGCTTTACCTAATAAATTATCATCGAAAACAACCATTCTCAACTGCTCACTAAGCGTATGGATCTTAACATCCATTCTCCAACCAACAAAACTTTCACCAAATACATTAAGTTGGGTAAACTCGAGTTCGCTCATGTGTTTCATCTCAAATCAAATAGAATAATATTATTGCTTTATGGGAATGTAACCTCCATAAACAATTTCATGAATATTTTTCACATATTAGAACTTCCGGTCTAATAATTCATACACCACATGTTCATACACATTCATGGATTTTATACGATAAACCATAACGACAAACGAAATTTTGCTTACCATTTTGTATCACAAAATTACATATGACAGATAAATAATGGATCAATTGAATAGAATTCTCCATTAGAGATACACCAATGTTTTCATGCAATTAAGGCAATGAAAATTTGCCAAACATTAAAGACATATAGCATGCTCTAATATTGATATAAAAGATAACCAAAACCGTATAACTTGTCATGATATAAATCATAATTATCATGTATTATAACTCATACAAATTCCATGAACCAATTTGAAATGACTGAGATAGTTAATTACCAATTACCTAATCATCCATAATGCGGAATTCATACAATCACATTAGGCATAAGTGATAATACGTTAAGAGCATGAGACAAAAGAATATATACCAGATTTCATCACTTTAAATCTCAAACATTGAATCATCACATATAGCAAAATACATAGAATCATATAGCATGATTGAGACGGCAAAATTCATGACAATATTTCATACTTGAACATGCAATACTTTTGCCGAATAATAAGATAGCATTTCACATGCTCAGAACAATTATTATATGAAATAACAAGACATTTTAATCACATTATAGAATAAAGATCACCAATCAGATCATATATTCAAATTATCCACGGTATAAATTAAGTAATGACTTGAACATAAAGTTTATTCACATATTTCATGCCATTAAATAGATCTATCATGCATCTCTTACGAAATCAACATTGCAAGGCGATTAAAGTTTATTTGAAATGCTTAAATCCAAATATTACGAATGGTATTAATATATTCTTCCGAGATTACCGTTTCACATATAAACTTGGATCACAAGTTTTCCAAGTAATTTTGTCCGACGAACAATTACCTTTCCACGAGCACCTCGAATTCATCGAGTATCCTAACGATTGTTTTTCCACGATAACGGCAAGTACTTCGTGCTGATAACGTGTTGTAAAATAGCTTATTTATCTAGCTCTTTGGTTTGTGTTTGTGGAAATACATAAGAATGTAAATAACAAGACAAAGAAAGAAAGAGAGAATACAAGAACAACAATCCGTAGAGAGAAAATTGTGGGTGTTTAGGGGAGGAGAAATTCTCATTTATGTAGGTGTAATCCACGGAAAGTTACATAGGAGTTACAACCACTACAATGTGTTGGAATAATGGGGTAGTGGGAAGTTGAGAATCTATAGTGGAATGGAGGTTACAACCCTTATCGTGTTAGGATAAGAAGACCCATATTTCCATATTATTTACAACACTTTCTATGTTTATATGGAAGATGAAGGTATTCAAATGTGAGTAAAATATTTCGACCTATTGGTAACAAGTTGGAATTTGCTAATTAGTCCTTTTGATTGTACTTCATTTTCCAATCTAACATATTCATTTTGAAAATGTCAACTCATTCAATCAACCATCACATTATCTGTTATAATAGGTCATATGACCAAAATTCCCAACTTTTATAACTTACAATACTAAAACTCTCAAGTAACAAACTTATAAGACTAAAAAACTCATTTTTCCCAAATATAATATCAAACATTCTTATTATAATTAATTATTCTAACATGACTTATTCAATAGATGACATGACAATTCACATATGATCTATTGAATGTAAACATTTTTCATATTATTACAATTTATGTTTTGAGAAAGTACTATCATTTAATATCTGTTGGGGGTTCTGTCTAAAATTCAAATTTTATGAGACAATTATGCAGATCTACACCCTCCAATTATTAGATATTTCTTTTTAAATTTTGTAAGGGTTTTTCCTGCGCAAGTTATTTTTTTTTTGTATGGGAGTTTAGTCCAATTTGATTGCTTCTTTTTTCTTCCTCCTCTCCGCCACCGACTCCGGCCACCGGCGCCGCCAATTCCCCGTCGAAGCAGCATCCCTGGCCAAAATTAAGAGAATAATAAGAATCTCAATACACAAACCTTCAAAATAATTAAATATATGGACGACAAAGAGAAAGAAGACGAGGAGGAGAATGCGGCGGCGGTGGCGGCTTTTGTCCGGCAAGAGGTGCCGGACTGGGACGACGAGTCCACGAGTCGAGCGAGATTCAAAGCCCTAAGCGGACAGAGGTCCGATTGGGACCCACTCTACCGTTTCTGGAGGGATTTAATCGTCAAGGTTGCCCGCCACCGCCGCATCTTCATCATCCGCCCTTCCGCCGTCAGCCGCCTCTGGTTCCGCCGCGCCGACGGATTGTCCCCCTTATGCCTCGATCGCGTCCTCATCGAAATGCTCCGCGCCGGAGACTTATCGCCGCCGCCGTCGCCCCACCCTACTTCCGCCGCTACCCGCCTCTCTCACATTTTCCGGAGAGCATTAGGTTTTTTTGGGGCAAGCAACGACGACGACGAAAATTCCCCTCTCGCCGGAGATTCCTACATTCTCGCCCCACTCCTAGAGGTCTGATAATTCAACCTTTTTTTTCCCTCTCCAATTAATTAGTATGCTTAATTTTACTTTGCACACAGGAGCGAGCTCTCGAAGTAATCGGCAAATTGTCGGAAAATCATTGGACAAATTCGTGTGTGATCACAATGAAAAAGTTTCAGGATATATGTATGGGATCAGAACAAGCTCTTGCAATTTTGAGTTACTTGTCAGCGCAGGGCAAAGCAGCACGCCTCATTATCAACAGAGTTGATCCAATCGAGGTAGTTTCCTTTTTTCGTTTCCGATTTTCGATTTAGACTATCGTTCCATTTTTTCTATAGGATTAAAGATTCTGAACCAATGGTATTTTTGGGAGTAATAATTTGGTTTCCATTATAGGGAGTGAAAATTTGTCTATCTCATGGAGCAGTTTGTGCTGCCTCGAGTTCGGATTACAGTGTTCTGCACTTAGTTTGGACTGCAGAAAAGCTCGAGCAGCAGCTTGATTTGATTGATCAGCGCTATCAAAAGTAAGAATCTAAATCAACTTAATTCGTTTCGCATATGCAAGCACGGCAATTTGTGAATGCGTAACTAGCATTTAGTATGTAGCTAGAGAAGCATTGAAGATATCAGTTGCAATGCCCAAACCAACATTCTTGTTTATCATGGTTTTCTTGGATATTTGCATTTAAACAAAAAAATAAAAATAAAATGTCGATTTCAAGAAAAAAATTACTCTTGCTATGCAGAAGTAGGAATTCAGCTTTAGCTTCTCTCAAAAGTGGAAACAAGAAAATTGCTTTGAGATACGCGAAAGAACTGAAGTTGACAACTCAAAGTAGAGAAAGATGTACGTCATTATTGGACCGAGTCGAAGAAGTTCTCCAGGTCATCACAGATGCCGAGTCCTCTAAAAAGGTTGTCACATGACATGTTTCCTTTTGGCTTGTTTAATTGAAATAAGGAAGTTTAGAACTTATTTGTATTAATATTTGGTAATATTCGGACTAGTTAATTCTTTGTTCAATAATTTTCGAGTTATCTTGTGATGTCCCGATGCAGGTTTCGGAGGCCATAAAAGGCAGCGCACATGCTATTCGGGAAAATCGAATCAGTATCGAAGAAGTTGAGCTGTGTCTGCAGGAAGTTGATGAAAACATTGATTCGCTGAAACAACTCGATAATGCTTTAGGTAATAACTTTCATTCATTAGTTTTTTATTGCATCTGCCTTATTAACTAGACCAGGAAGACAGTTTTTATCCAATTATGGTCCATAGTTAGAACGTACGATACGTTTGTGCAAATTCTTGTCCCCATTAGATTTCCCCCCAAGAGAATTGTAACTAGTACATGAAACGATGGAATCAAAATCTAAATTTAGTTTTTGTTGCGAATTCAGAAGAAAAAAAGATTTTGTTTTTTGCTTGGGAATCAAATTCTAGGTTCAAACTCGCTATAAATAATTGGTTCACCTGCATATATCTTTACTAACTATCGTACAGATACCTTAGTGGGTGTCGTTTGCCATACTTGCTGAAATGAATAACATTTTCTTTCGCAATTAAAATGTACGTCTGTTTTAAAAAAATCCCATCTATGTTATACGAATCCACATACATTAAACTCAGTGATGGTGCCAAGTTACTGGATATGAAGGTTCTAATAGATACTTTAAACTCAGAACCACATTCGATTGTAATTTTCGTTTAACATATAGTTGAATAAATGCATGGCGTTCTAACCATACTTGATTGTGATTTTGTAGAATCAAGCACATCATATGCAGAGGTCGATGATGAAGATATAGAAGACGAATTCAACAAACTGCAGCTGGAAATTGGAATTGAAACGAACCAACTCCCAACCAAAAACGGGTTTAATAGCAATGCTTCGGAAGAAACTGATGCTTTGAGCAATGCTTTATCAAATCTCAATCTAAAAAATAGTGCAGAAATTGATTCACCGGCAGAATATCATTTAAAGTCGGGTGGCAACAAAAGCATGTCAAAAGAAGAAGGCTGTCTTGAAGCTGCTTGACTTTATATTCATGGCCGATATTTTTGTGTGTTTTCGGGTTTTTGGGTCGACAGTGTTAGTTGATGATTTGAATGTAATGTGTAATATCTATACCATATTAGTAAAATTGTATATTTAGTTTCCATTGTACATGGGGTATGTAAATACTTATTGCACTGCTGGTGATAGTAGTAAATTTATCAAAGTGATTTTTGAAGGAAATTATCACAACACTAAACAGGCTGTTCTGTTGGGAAGGTGTATATATATATTTTAATGGTTTTATTGGTGAAATATCATTCATTCTGAAAGATAATAGTTGAAATATGGTTCTGATATTTCATGTACTAGGATGTATGCTTGGTGCTTGTCGGAATCACAACGTGGCGGGCCCCGCAGATATTCTTGCTGACGAAATTCTCCGAGATAAATTCGGAGGTTCGGGATACCATATATATACTGATGTCCAATATATATGCGTCGAGTGAGAAATGGAAAATAGAATAGGAGGACTTTGTATTTATGTGATCAGAATTCGTAAGATTCGAGTAAATATCGATTACTTAATTGTCCGATAATGGGCAGCACTTTCCTGGGAGACAAGCTGTACATACAAAAAAAAAAAAGAAATACCATTTCAAATGGTTGACTTACTACATGTGCAAATCACCTCTCCTCTACAATTTTATCAAAGCAATACTTTACTTTTCATTTTCATGAAAGAAAGAGATATCAGATAAAATGGCTCATGCTGCTGTGATTTCTGTTATGGACGTTATCGAGCAACTCTTAGGATCCTCTTAAATTTCGTTTGTTCCACCTTCTCGGAAAATTTTAAAATCTTCATACAAGCACCTTAAGTCCTTACGAAAAGTTCTCAAGAGATTTGATAATAGCAGCGGCAGCAGCGGCAGAGGCAGCAGCGGCAGCGGCGAGAGGGTGGATGCTTTGGATGGAGAAATCAGAGTGGCGATACGTAAATTCGAAGATGCAATCGAATCCCATGTCTCGAATCAGTTTCTTTCTCAATGTCGAGAAACCCATAATGGGAGTCATCCATTGACAATACTCGCCCTAGATATGAAGGAAGTGAAGCACGAGATCGATTCATTCAACGAGACGATCAAGAAGATGGAGGGCGAGTGCATTAACGAATTGAACAATCTGTCCCGTGAAGAAGACGACGCCGTTTCATCGATAATTGGTTATGTTGGTACGAAGTGGAATATGGTTGGATTTTCTGATCAATTTCAAGAAATCCGAACGTGGCTTTTGGAATATCCAACGGATCCTCAACGCCTCGTGTCTGCATTATCTCTTGTTGGAATGACGGGGATTGGTAAGACTACTCTTGCCGTGCAACTTTTTGAAGACCCGTTAGTCTCGAGTTATTTCGACGTTCGTGTGTTTATCACCGTACGACAAAAATGTGACTTAAAAGAGATTTTGCAAGGTATTCTAGCTCAAATGAATCTCGAGATTGATAAAATGCTCGACGTGGGAGATTTGAAAAGAATTATGTACCAAAATTTGAAGGGTAAAAAATGCCTCTTTGTTTTGGATGATGTATGGAATATGCAGGTGTGGGATGTCTTGAGGAGGTTGTTTTCAAAAAGCAAAAGTGTATGTCGAGTCTTGCTGACAACTAGGCTACAAAATATGAGTTCGAGCAATCATGTTTACAAAATCGGATTACTGAATAAAGAAGAAAGTTGGGATCTTCTCCGTGAGAAGGTGTTTGGTGAAGAATGAGTTTTGCCCTCCCCAACTTGAGAAAGTTGGAAAGAAGATTGCCGAAAATTGTGATGGTCTTCCTCTTCTAATCGTCACAGTTGCCGAATTCTTATCCAAAGCCGACAAGACCACTGAGTACTGGAAGAAAGTGGCAGAGAAAGAAAATTCGATTTTCATGGATGCAAATGATCAAATGATGTCAAAGGTACTATTTTCGAGCTACAAATACTTATCTCAATATTCAAAGGCATGCTTTATGTATATGGGAGTTTTCCCTCAAAACTATGAAATTCCGTGCTCCAAGCTCTTGAAGCTATGGAACGCTGAGGGATTCCTCGAACCAACTCCAAGAGGCATTGTGATTGACGAGCTTGTTTTGAAAAGCCTTGTTGTGGTCCACAAGAAGAGCTGGAATATGTGCTATATATCACCCGGTTTCGGAATCAATACTTGCGGTCTCCATTCCGTGTTTTGGAATCTGTGTAACAGAGAAGCCGAGAAGAACAAATTTTTCCATGTCGTAAATCGTAATCAGGACACTACGACTTTAGTGGAGGGCATAGAGCACCACCGTCGACTGTGCATCCGCAAAGGAGTTCTGTTTGCCATCAAAGATGTAAACAAGTCAATATCATCTAATTCAAACGCGCGCTCGCTCCTGTGTTTTGGTCCGTACCAAAAATATCCAGTACCAATATGTTTCGAGTATTTAAGGTTGCTCAGGGTATTTGATGCCCTTACAATTCGTATGTACGAGTTCCCAATGGAAGTACTGAAACTAGTTCAGTTAAGGTACCTTGCCCTCACTTACGACGGAAAACTCCCTCCTTCCATATCCAAACTTCGGAGCCTTAAGTACTTGATTATCCTTCGACATTTAAACATCATTAAATCTTGTATAAGTTCTTCATATTTGCCAAAGGAGATATGGGATATGCAAGAGCTAAGGCATCTTCACATCACGGGATGCAATCTCCCAGATCCTTGTGGCGCTGGCTTGAGAAACCTCAGAACGCTTTTAGATGTAAGCCCCCATTGTTTTACAAAGGAGCTTCTTGCAAGATTCTATTATCTATCAAGTTTACGTATTCGATTTGATTTGGCGCCTAATTCTTGTGAATCATTCAACTTGTTTGATCTTAATTCTCATCTTCGTTTAAGTTCACTCAAATGTATCACAATGAATCCTATTCCGCGGTCCGAGGTTTCGGTTCCTCCACCTCCTATTCGTCCGGGTTTCTATTCAAATCTTAGCAAGTTGAGTTTGAGTGGGTTTGGATATCCATGGGAATACATGAAGTTGATCTCTCCAATGCCGTATCTACAAGTGTTGAAGCTGCGATGCTATGCCTTTCTAGGGGCGAAGTGGGAAACTCAAGACAAAGGATTTCCGTACCTTAAAGTTCTCGTAATTGAAGACTCTGATCTGATGCAATGGACGGTCGGGATTAAAGCATTTCCATGTCTTGAGCTCCTGACCGTGAAAAATTGCCATAAACTAGAAGGAATCCCTCGTGATTTTGCCGAATCGGATCGTCTAAGTATTGAGCTCGTTGATTGTAGCCGTTCGGCTTCGGCTTGTGTGAAGAGAATGCAAGAGGAACAACGGAACAAAGGAAGGGATTTCCTTAAAGTTTCTGTCACTTCTTCATGGGATACATGATGGGATATAATATTGGAGATTTAATTTTATTTCTTCAAAAGATGATTGTGAACTTGTTTTGCTTTGGTGTTTGTGTTTTGTGAAGTTATAGCTCTAAGTATTGTTGTGTATTATTACTCCTTTTGGTTTCAATGAGTGTCTCTTGCTTGTTTTCTAGGGGTGTGCTCGGCTCGGTTCGGTTCGGTTCGGTTCGGTTTTTGGATAAAATCGAACACGAACCAAGTATATCGTTATTTGTAAAATCAAAAACCATATATGTCCGTTTTTCATCGGTTCTGTTTCTTTCGATTTTGGTTTGATTTCGGTTTTTTTGGCTTCGGTTTCGGTTATTTTTCGATTCCAATAAATGAATGATAATAAAATTATTAAAACATATCAAAGAGTGATTGGTAATTTATTGAACTTTTAAAGTTGTGTCTGATCTTGGTTTGATAAATAGTTGTTAACAAATCAAGCTCGAACAAGTTTTTATTGAATCGTATTGAATTGAGTATCCAGTAGCTTAATTTGAATTTCATCCATAAGTGAATTTCAAATATTTATATATAAAAAAAATAAAAATTGCAAGTATGAAAATAAACCTCCGAAATTTAAATAATATGCAAAAACTCTCATGCGGCGGTTCATAGGTACAGGCGGCGATTTCCATTCATGGCCGTCGTTGATCGACTCTCTCTCCTCTCTCCTCAAGAAAACTCCGACCAACTCCCATCTACGCGACGCCACAAGATTACACGCTCTCCTCCTCGTCGGAGGTATCCTCAGCCCAAACGCCGCCGTATCTGCCCACGTCGGTTCCCGCCTGGTGGAAGTCTACGCTCATTTAGGCGATTTGAAACAAGCCTTGCTCGTATTCGGCAGAATCCATTGCACCCAAAACATCGCCTGTAATGCAATTCTCCGAGTGTATCTGGACTCATCTCAGTTTTCTCAAGCAATTCATTTCTTCAATCACTTGGTTTCCAAGCTGGGTTTTTTACCCGATAACTACACGTGCCCTCTTGTCTTAAAGGCTTGTTCTGGACTGTGTTCACTCGAAGATGGTAGAAAGGTGCTCGATTTGATCCGTTCCGCCGAGTTTCGTAACGACTTCAAGCCGAATGCCTACACGAAATGCGCTGCTATAGATATGTTTGCGAAATGCGGAAGCTTGAATGATGCCCGGAAGGTGTTCGATGATATGTCTGAGAGGGAAAGGGACTTGGCTTCTTGGACTGCTATAATATGTGGGACGATTCACATGGGGAAAGGGATTGAAGCGCTGTATTTGTTCAATACGATGAGACTTGAAGGCAAGCAGCCGGATTCAGTTGTTATGGCTGCTCTTCTTCCGGCTTGCGGACGATTAGAAGCGAGAAAAACGGGAATGTCTCTTCAAGGCTGTGCTCTGAAGAGTGGCTTCCTTCGCGATTTGTTCGTTTCTAATGCTCTCGTGGATATGTACTGTAAATTTGGGGATACCGATGAAGCTTATAGTGTGTTTTGTGGGATGCTTTGTAAAGATGATGTTTCTTGGAGAACGTTAATAGCTGGTTATTCGCAGAATTCTCAATATAAGAAGAGCTTGGAGCTCTACTTAGAGATGATAAACGTCGGTGTAAAACCTAGTGCGGTTGTTATAGCAAGTGTTCTTCCTGCAATCGGTAAGTTGAACTTGTCGGAACAGGGGAAAGTGATGCACGGCTTTGTCCTAAAACGAGGATTCGACTTTGATGTTGTCGTTGCAAGTGCGCTGATGGACATGTACTCGAATTGTGGCTTGATTTCCGAAACGGGAATTCTTTTAAGCTTATGGTTGGATTGGGACATCATGATTTGGAACTCAGCGATTTCAGGATATGCTATTAGCGAAAATCAAGATTCGGCTCTCGGCGCCTTTCGGCAGATGTGTAAATCTAGATTTAAACCGAATTCCGTCACTTTGTTGAGCATTATCCCGATATGTACAAAAACAGGGGCACTTAAACACGGCATAGAAGTTCATTGCCATGCGATTAGAAACGGGCTCGTAACATATGTTTCGGTCAGCAATTCTCTTATCGACATGTACTGTAAATGTGGATACCTTAGACTCGGACTAAAGCTCTTCGATCACATGAAGGAAAAAGATATCGTTTCTTACAACACACTTATTTCCGCGTATGGCTTCCACGGGTATGGAAACAAAGCATTACTCCTCTTCGACGAAATGAAATCTTTATCGATAACGCCTACTAAGTCAACTTTCATCGGACTTTTGTCTGCTTGTAGTCACGCGGGTCTAGTTAACAACGGTTGGTCCATTTACCGTTCGATGATTAACGATTATGGTATAAACCCTAATATGGAACACTATACATGCATGGTGGACATGCTTGGTAGAGCGGGGCTTATTACCGACGCGTGCAACTTCGTTAGAACGATGCCTGATGAACCGGATTGTAATGTACTAGGTTGTTTGCTTGCTGCTTGTCGGAATCACAACGTGGAGGGCCCGGCGGATCTTCTTGGTGACGAAATTCTACAAGATAAGTTTGGAGATTCGGGATACCATGTACTAATGTCCAATATATATGCGTCGGGTGAGAAATGGAAAGATGCGTCGAGGGCGAGATCGTTGATAAAGGAGAAGGGGTTGAGAAAAAAACCGGGGAATAGTTGGATACAGATAGGTAATTGCACTCATGTATTTGATGCTAGAGATACATCACATTTAGAGTTTTATAAAATAGAAGAAATCTTGGAGATGTTGTTTGCAGAGATGAAGGGGTGTTGTGTGGTTGATCCATGTCTCTCTCTCCCTTAACTTTGATCATTTTTTTTTGGTTAAATTACGAGAAATTCCCTGAACTAATGTCAATTTACAAAAAAAGACCATCACGTGTTCGTAATTACCAAAAATCGCTTGAAGTTTGTTGTCGTCTTACATTGTCCGCTTGGATTTTTGTAGAATTTTATAATTCCATGGAATATTATTCCTAAAATATACTCCCTCCGTTCCAATTTAATTGTCGTTTTTTTAGCTTTACACAAAGATTAAGAAATTCATTAAATGTATCTTGATTTTAGGAAAATGTATGCTTTTAGAAAAAAATAACATTGTCTTATAATTATAATTAATAAGAGTGAAATTAGTTAAAAAAAGAGTGTTGAAAGGAGTTAATAAGGGTATAAACTAGAAATTAAATAATTAATGAAGTGTTGAAAATTTAAAGTGACACATAATATGGAACAAAAAAAATTTCCAAAGTCACATATATTATGGAAGGGAAGGAGTAGTAATTTACGGTTGGCGGGCGATTGTAGTAATTCTATTTCATGAGGGGTAATTGTAATATTTTTTTGGTATAAAACATATTTCGTTTTGTACTTGCACTTATGCATGAGTAGTTTTATTCTAATGTTAAATCATTTAAGAGGATGTTTATAGGAAGAATAGAATAGGAGAAAGAGAGAAATAATAATACGTAGAATAGAAACCCCCATTCTGTTATGGGTTGATTACATGGAATATATATAGAGAAATATTGCAAGGTAATAGAGTTTGACTAGGTAACTAAATCCTAACTAATCTAGCTAACTCAATCATACTAGAATCTTAATATTAGGAGAATTTTATAATATAATATTCTCTAACACGCCCCCGCAGTCGAAACGTGACGAACGTGAAGAATGGACATTCACTTGCTAGCACGCTCCCGCAGTCGAACGAATAAACTTCAAACGTGAAGACTGGAAACTTCAAACGTGAAGAATGGACATAAACCGCGAAACACATCGCTAGAGAATTCCTCTGTTGAAATATCTGCCAAATTTAAAAAAATAATAATAATAATAACGGGTGAGAGAAAAATAAGAATTTTTTTTTTTTTTTTTTTTTGTGTATGAATCGAGAGAGAGAGAGAGGGAGAAGATATGAGAGGGGTCGCCGGCCATGGAGAAGAAGAGAGGCAGCGGCTAGGTTTTAGGCCATGGAGAAGAGGAAGAAGAAAAAGATAGAGAAGATACACCAACCACCGAGAGAGGGAGAAAATTCGGTTTGGTGGTCGCCGGCCATGTAGAAGAAGAGAAGCGGCGGCTAGGTTTTAGGCCATGGAGAAGAAGAAGAAAAAAGAGATAGAGAAGATGCACCACCGGGGGAGGGAGAAAATTGGGTGGTGTTCATAGAAAAAAGATAGAAAAAGAAAAAAATAAAGAAAAATATTAGAGTACCACCACCGGGGGAAGGGAGAACATTGGGTGGTCACCGCCATGGAGAAGAAAGGCGGCTAGGTTAAAAAAACTAAACCTGATGCTCTGATACCATATAGGAAGAATAGAATAGGAGAAAGAGAGAAATAATAATACGTAGAATAGAAACCCCCATTCTGTTATGGGTTGATTACATGGAATATATATAGAGAAATATTGCAAGGTAATAGAGTTTGACTAGGTAACTAAATCCTAACTAATCTAGCTAACTCAATCATACTAGAATCTTAATATTAGGAGAATTTTATAATATAATATTCTCTAACAATGTTAATTGTGATTTTTGAGTATTTGACTGTGTTTTTAAATTCTTTAATTATTTTGATTCACTACTTCCCCTTCGATATTTATTTCCCTTGTTCATACAGATTCCCGTAGTAGTTCTAAAATTAGAGTTAATTGCATAGACCCCCCTGTGTTATTTCTCGGAAGCAAAAAACCCCCCAGGAAAAAAAAATTAGCGTATAACCCCCTCTGTTGTGTTTTAGTCAGCCCACCGCCCCTTTGTGTGCACTGGCTCGTTGACTTAAGTGAAATGACAGAATTACCCTTAATAAAAAATAAAGCGAAAAATAAAAAATAATGTCTAACAATTTTTAATAAATTTTCAATTTTAAACAAACAAATATAAATAAAATATGTGTTAAATATAATAACAATTAAAAAAGGAAAAGAAAAAAGAAAATAATGTTCTTCTTCATCCCGTCTTCCACCACACCCCACACCCACCACCACAACTTCATCCACCATTTTCCCCAAGCCCCAGCCCTCCGCACCGCCGCCGTCCCAAGGAATATTGGGGAACCAGCTCAGCAAAACCCTAACCATCAAAACCCCACTGTAAAGGTCTCGGCAAGAATCGCATCAGGGCTTCGGGTTTCAAGAATCCGGGTTGCCGCCGCCTTGTACGAGCGGAAGAGGTGTAGCATTGGGTGGGGCGAAGATGGTGCCATAACACCGACAATAGACTGCCGATTTGGGTAGATTGGAAAGGAAAAAGAATTTCACCTCTTCCTTCGGCTTCGGACCAGA